TGCGCGTGAGGAGCGCAGGGGACGGGGCGCGTGAGGAGCGCAGGGGACGGGGCGCGTGAGGAGCGCAGGGGACGGGGCGTGTGAGGAGCGCAGGGGACGGGGCGTGCGCGTGAGGAGCGCAGGGGACGGGGCGCGTGAGGAGCGCAGGGGACGGGGCGTGTGAGGAGCGCAGGGGACGGGGCGCGTGAGGAGCGCAGGGGACGGGGCGTGTGAGGAGCGCAGGGGACGGGGCGTGCGCGTGAGGAGCGCAGGGGACGGGGCGCGTGAGGAGCGCAGGGGACGGGGCGTGCGTGTGAGGAGCGCAGGGGACGGGGCGTGTGAGGAGCGCAGGGGACGGGGCGTGCGCGTGAGGAGCGCAGGGGACGGGGCGTGCGTGTGAGGAGCGCAGGGGACGGGGCGTGCGTGTGAGGAGCGCAGGGGACGGGGCGTGTGAGGAGCGCAGGGGACGGGGCGTGCGCGTGAGGAGCGCAGGGGACGGGGCGTGCGTGTGAGGAGCGCAGGGGACGGGGCGTGCGTGTGAGGAGCGCAGGGGACGGGGCGTGCGTGTGAGGAGCGCAGGGGACGGGGCGTGTGAGGAGCGCAGGGGACGGGGCGTGCGCGTGAGGAGCGCAGGGGACGGGGCGTGCGTGTGAGGAGCGCAGGGGACGGGGCGTGCGTGTGAGGAGCGCAGGGGACGGGGCGTGTGAGGAGCGCAGGGGACGGGGCGTGCGCGTGAGGAGCGCAGGGGACGGGGCGTGCGTGTGAGGAGCGCAGGGGACGGGGCGTGTGAGGAGCGCAGGGGACGGGGCGTGCGCGTGAGGAGCGCAGGGGACGGGGCGTGCGCGTGAGGAGCGCAGGGGACGGGGCGTGCGTGTGAGGAGCGCAGGGGACGGGGCGTGCGTGTGAGGAGCGCAGGGGACGGGGCGTGTGAGGAGCGCAGGGGACGGGGCGTGCGTGTGAGGAGCGCAGGGGACGGGGCGCGTGAGGAGCGCAGGGGACGGGGCGTGCGTGTGAGGAGCGCAGGGGACGGGGCGTGTGAGGAGGGCAGGGGACGGGGCGTGCGCGTGAGGAGCGCAGGGGACGGGGCGTGCGCGTGAGGAGCGCAGGGGACGGGGCGTGCGCGTGAGGAGCGCAGGGGACGGGGCGTGCGTGTGAGGAGCGCAGGGGACGGGGCGTGCGTGTGAGGAGCGCAGGGGACGGGGCGTGCGTGTGAGGAGCGCAGGGGACGGGGCGTGCGCGTGAGGAGCGCAGGGGACGGGGCGCGTGAGGAGCGCAGGGGACGGGGCGCGTGAGGAGCGCAGGGGACGGGCGTGTGAGGAGCGCAGGGGACGGGGCGTGCGCGTGAGGAGCGCAGGGGACGGGGCGTGCGCGTGAGGAGCGCAGGGGACGGGGCGTGCGCGTGAGGAGCGCAGGGGACGGGGCGTGTGAGGAGCGCAGGGGACGGGGCGTGCGCGTGAGGAGCGCAGGGGACGGGGCGTGTGAGGAGCGCAGGGGACGGGGCGTGCGCGTGAGGAGCGCAGGGGACGGGGTGTGCGCGTGAGGAGCGCAGGGGACGGGGCGTGCGTGTGAGGAGCGCAGGGGACGGGGCGTGCGTGTGAGGAGCGCAGGGGACGGGGCGTGCGTGTGAGGAGCGCAGGGGACGGGGCGTGTGAGGAGGGCAGGGGACGGGGCGTGCGTGTGAGGAGCGCAGGGGACGGGGCGTGCGTGTGAGGAGCGCAGGGGACGGGGCGTGTGAGGAGCGCAGGGGACGGGGCGTGCGTGTGAGGAGCGCAGGGGACGGGGCGTGCGTGTGAGGAGCGCAGGGGACGGGGCGTGCGCGTGAGGAGCGCAGGGGACGGGGCGTGCGCGTGAGGAGCGCAGGGGACGGGGCGCGTGAGGAGCGCAGGGGACGGGGCGTGCGTGTGAGGAGCGCAGGGGACGGGGCGTGCGCGTGAGGAGCGCAGGGGACGGGGTGTGCGCGTGAGGAGCGCAGGGGACGGGGCGCGTGAGGAGCGCAGGGGACGGGGCGCGTGAGGAGCGCAGGGGACGGGGCGTGCGCGTGAGGAGCGCAGGGGACGGGGCGTGCGTGTGAGGAGCGCAGGGGACGGGGCGTGCGTGTGAGGAGCGCAGGGGACGGGGCGTGTGAGGAGCGCAGGGGACGGGGCGTGCGCGTGACGAGCGCAGGGGACGGGGCGCGTGAGGAGCGCAGGGGACGGGGCGTGCGCGTGAGGAGCGCAGGGGACGGGGCGTGCGTGTGAGGAGCGCAGGGGACGGGGCGTGCGTGTGAGGAGCGCAGGGGACGGGGCGTGTGAGGAGCGCAGGGGACGGGGCGTGCGCGTGACGAGCGCAGGGGACGGGGCGCGTGAGGAGCGCAGGGGACGGGGCGTGCGCGTGAGGAGCGCAGGGGACGGGGCGTGCGAGTGAGGAGCGCAGGGGACGGGGCGTGCGCGTGAGGAGCGCAGGGGACGGGGCGTGTGAGGAGCGCAGGGGACGGGGCGTGCGCGTGAGGAGCGCAGGGGACGGGGCGCGTGAGGAGGGCAGGGGACGGGGCGCGTGAGGAGCGCAGGGGACGGGGCGTGTGCGTGAGGAGCGCAGGGGACGGGGCGTGCGCGTGAGGAGCGCAGGGGACGGGGCGTGCGCGTGACGAGCGCAGGGGACGGGGCGTGCGTGTGAGGAGCGCAGGGCCGGCAAGGCGCGCTCTCCGGGCTCTGCTCTCCTCCGTGCTCTCCTGCTCCCGCCAGCTGGGTCTGAGCGTCGGGAGGGAGCTTCTCCAGAGGGCCGGCCACCTCCTTCCCCTGTGCCGGCGTTGCCTGGCCTCTGCTCTGTCGGTGGGCACTCTGTCTCCCTCACCCGTCTCTTCACCGGGCAGCGGAGTGTCTTCCATGGCAGCACAGCCAGACCCCCAGCGGAGTGTCTTCCATGGCTGCACAGCCAGACCCCCACGCCTCCGTCCAGGTTCCCAGCTACTGTACACAGAGCAGCTCGGAGGGGTGGGGCAGGCAGAGGCCTGGAAACCTTGGCCAAGGGGCCGTGCTGCTTGCTGCCTCCGTCTCCCCTGCATAAAATGAGGCCCACTCTACGTGCGAGTGGCGGGGCTGGCCACGGGGAGCGGGGCGTGATGGGCGGCGTGGGGTGAGGCAGGAGCCACCGCAGCACAGCCCGGCCTGGCCAGGGCCGTGCCAGCGTCGGGGGAGGAGGACACCCCAATCGCTCATAACATCTGATGTGCGTGCTGGCGATAAGGTGTTTGCTAAACTTTGGTGGAGGGGGCGGAGGCCCCGCATGAGCACCCCAGGGACACGGGCCGCCTGCTGGCACCGGCTGAGGGCCTCCAGCGTGACCTGACCAAAACACAGGAGCCGCAGCTGGAGCAGCTCTATTTAGTGTAAATAGAGGTGCCTGCCTGCTGGGGGCTGAAGGACGATGGGGTCACGCTGGGCAGGGGCTGAGGCCGGGGCCGGCGGCCGTGTGGGGCGGCCCCGCAGGAGGCTCGCTCGCTCGCTCTGAGGTGGGCTTCCCAAAGGGGCGTCCACCTCCGACACCACGGAGGCGCCCGGCCAGCTGCGGAGGTGACCGGGGAGGCCACCATCCTGCGGCAGGGCAGAGCTCACAGGGCCCCGGGGACCTCCCACCCTACACCATCCACCCCCAACCAGGGGTCCAGGCTGCTGTGGGTACTGGATGGCTGTGAACCTTCCTCCCTTCCTCCAGGTCCCCCGAGTCAGGAGGGCGGAGGTCGCCCCACCCCGGGTCAGGAGGTCAGCGGCACAGAGGCCCTCCCTGAACCTGACGCTTGGGTGCTGCGGGCGCAGAGGGCTGGCGGGAAGGGTCTCCAGGGTCGGGGCTCTGGCCCGGTTAGGGTTCCCACTATGGGGCAGGAAGAGCTTGCCGAGGCAGGTCTGCAAACATTCGAGTGTTGACACTGTCCCCACACCACCCCAGTGCTCGGGCCTGAGCATCACTGCTCAGTCTGAGCCGGAGGCCCACTGGGGGCTGGCTCAGTGCTGGATAAACAGAGCGCGTGTAAGCACGCACAGCCCCAACCCACTGGGAGCCCACCGTGCCGCCCCTCCCAGGAAAACGCACGCGTCAAAGCAAGGACAAGGCCATCAGACGGGGGCGGACCCGCCCCTCCACCAGCCCAGGGCCTTCTGCCAGACCAGGCCTGGGCCTGGTGAGTGGCCTCCCCCCACTCCCCGCAGGAAGAGCAGCTTCAGTGTTCACGCCGTCTGTATGTCTGCACTGTGACCAGCGGCCTTGACAGCCGGCCGAGGGCTGAGTTCGCGTTTACCTGCCCTGTGACCTGTGACCTAGCCTCACAAGCTTTACGGATGCGCGTGGTCACAAGGGAGTGTGGCACCGCCCAGCGTGCCGCACGCAGATCACGCAGGGTAAAGCCGATGGGCCTGGCCCAGGGCGGCCTGGGTTCTGCCTGTGCTCACACAAAGGCCTTGGGAGGCTGCACTCCTGTGGCAGGGAGGCTGCTCGGCCGGGCCACGACCTGCCCTCCCCTTTGACCCCGCACCTCTGTGCCCAGCACTCCTTCACCTGCCCACAAGCTCCGTCCAGTGCGGCTGCAGACGCCCCTGACCTGTGTGGAGTGGGGAGGGGAGGGGAGGGGAGAGGTGTGCTGACAAGGCGGCCTCGGCCCTGGCCCCGCAGATCCCACGGGTGGAGGGGAGCTGAGCTGAGGCATCCTGGCCTGCGCTGGCTGTGGGAGGCGGGAGTGTGGCCGCCCTGCAGGCTGGGGCTGTGGCCAGGGCTCTGCCCCGGCTCTCCACCCACGGCCCTCCCCAGCGCCGCTGTCAGCTCGCCCCCTAGTGGCCGCTGGAGGGCGGCACAGGAACACACAGAGCCCCAGACATCTGCCCCTGGCCATCGGTCAGGTACCAGTCAGCCACCAGGTAAACACCACCGCCACCCGTGACCGTGACACTTCACGACCCTCGGCTAGTTAACACTGCTTCCATTCTGGAAGTCTCCACCTGCCCCACCAGCACCAGGCCCGGCCATGGTTGCCTGATTCCATTCCTGGGGCTTCGTTATGATTACACAGCTTTATTACAAAGAGCTGGTTTTAAGTAATGGCCCTAACAGAGTGAATTTTAATTAAGCTTGATTCAGAGCCTGCCTCAGGTTTCCAAGGATTTGCAGCTCAAGATGAAGAAAGGCTGCCGCACAACTCACACGCCGCCCCATCTCCACCACATGGCTGCTCCCGGTCTGGCCTCTTCAGCAGGTTCAGGAGGGTGACGCAGCCCCTTCCCTCCATTTCCTGACGCAAGCCTGAGGCCCTGGTGAGAGGAAAACAGGTCAGTGCACTGTGGGAACAAGGCAGCAGCCACCACGCGGAACTGAAGTCGGCTTCCCAACTGTGTGAGATAGAAGACCCAGCCAGAGCTGGGACAGCCAGAGCCCAGGACAGCCAGAGCCCAGGACAGCCAGAGCCCTGGACAGCCAGAGCCCTGGACAGCCAGAGCCCTGGACAGCCAGAGCCCAGGACAGCCAGAGCCCAGGACAGCCAGAGCCCTGGACAGCCAGAGCCCAGGACAGCCAGAGCCCTGGACAGCCAGAGCCCAGGACAGCCAGAGCCCTGGAAAGCCAGAGCCCAGGACAGCCAGAGCCCAGGACAGCCAGAGCCCAGGACAGCCAGAGCCCAGGACAGCCAGAGCCCTGGACAGCCAGAGCCCAGGACAGCCAGAGCCCTGGACAGCAGAGCCCTGGACAGCCAGAGCCCAGGACAGCCAGAGCCCTGGACAGCCAGAGCCCAGGACAGCCAGAGCCCAGGACAGCCAGAGCCCTGGACAGCCAGAGCCCTGGACAGCCAGAGCCCTGGACAGCCAGAGCCCAGGACAGCCAGAGCCCTGGACAGCCAGAGCCCTGGACAGCCAGAGCCCTGGACAGCCAGAGCCCTGGACAGCCAGAGCCGAGGACAGCCAGAGCCCAGGACAGCCAGAGCCCAGGACAGCCAGAGCCCAGGACAGCCAGAGCCCAGGACAGCCAGAGCCCTGGACAGCCAGAGCCCAGGACAGCCAGAGCCCTGGACAGCCAGAGCCCAGGACAGCCAGAGCCCTGGACAGCCAGAGCCCTGGATAGCAGAGCCCTGGACAGCCAGAGCCCTGGACAGCCAGAGCCCAGGACAGCCAGAGCCCTGGACAGCCAGAGCCCAGGACAGCCAGAGCCCTGGACAGCCAGAGCCCAGGACAGCCAGAGCCCTGGACAGCCAGAGCCCTGGATAGCAGAGCCCTGGACAGCCAGAGCCCTGGACAGCCAGAGCCCAGGACAGCCAGAGCCCTGGACAGCCAGAGCCCTGGACAGCCAGAGCCCAGGACAGCCAGAGCCCTGGACAGCCAGAGCCTGAGGACAGCCAGAGCCCTGGACAGCCAGAGCCCAGGACAGCCAGAGCCCAGGACAGCCAGAGCCCTGGACAGCCAGAGCCCAGGACAGCCAGAGCCCTGGACAGCCAGAGCCCAGGACAGCCAGAGCCCTGGACAGCCAGAGCCCAGGACAGCCAGAGCCCTGGACAGCCAGAGCCCTGGACAGCCAGAGCCCAGGACAGCCAGAGCCCAGGACAGCCAGAGCCCAGGACAGCCAGAGCCCTGGACAGCCAGAGCCCTGGACAGCCAGAGCCCTGGACAGCCAGAGCCCAGGACAGCCAGAGCCCTGGACAGCCAGAGCCCTGGACAGCCAGAGCCCAGGACAGCCAGAGCCCAGGACAGCCAGAGCCCAGGACAGCCAGAGCCCTGGACAGCCAGAGCCCTGGACAGCCAGAGCCCAGGATAGCAGAGCCCTGGACAGCAGAGCCCTGGACAGCAGAGCCCAGGACAGCAGAGCCCAGGACAGCCAGAGCCCAGGACAGCCAGAGCCCAGGATAGCAGAGCCCTGGACAGCAGAGCCCTGGACAGCAGAGCCCAGGACAGCAGAGCCCTGGACAGCAGAGCCCAGGACAGCCAGAGCCCAGGACAGCCAGAGCCCAGGACAGCCAGAGCCCAGGACAGCCAGAGCCCTGGACAGCCAGAGCCCTGGACAGCCAGAGCCCAGGATAGCAGAGATCTGGACAGCCAGAGCCCTAGACAGCAGAGCCCTGGACAGCCAGAGCCCTGGACAGCCAGAGCCCTGGACAGCCAGAGCCCAGGATATCAGAGATCTGGACAGCCAGAGCCCTGGACAGCCAGAGCTGGTGAGGCTCCAGCTGCGGCCCAGTCCATCAAGGGATGCACCGTCAGCTCTGGACCCAGGGCCTGGTCCAGGCCAGATCAGCACTGCTTCGGGTGAACAGCCATGGGAGATGAGAAGCCCAGCCAGGGCTCCCCAGACCTCGGGGGACATGGGCAGCGTGGTGGGGGATGCCCAGTCACACACAGGGCAGACACAGGCACGGGAGAAATCTCAAGTGATTTCGCGTTCGTATGAACCTTTTACCCTGCCTTTAGATCCGCACAGGAGCAAGGCTGTTCAAAGGAGATAAAGCTACCACGTCCTGACCCGAGCCGGGCACTAGCTAAGTGTCCACAACTGGGTCTGCTCTAAAAGCAGAGATGAGAATCCACAGAAGACACAGAGCACAGAATGAGGCCTGCCCAGGACAGGCAGGCCCTGGTGTCACCTAAAGCCAGCCTCTTGTCTGGTGCGTAGCCCAGGACAGGCTGGCCACTGCTGCCGGAGAAACCCAGCCCCAGCCCTGGCGAGGCACTGCCCGGGTGTTTCAAGTGACAACACAGTGGAATCAAGGCCTTCTCTGAGGTCGGCTGGGCGGTCTGCCCCCCCCACCCGCTGTGCCCACCCAGCCCCGAGTGTCACACCACGCGGCTCGGCTCGGCGAGACGTGACCATCAAGGTCCCCCTCCTGCGGGCGCCGGGAGGCCGAGCTCCACACGCAGGCAGACTTCTCTGGAGGAAGGGGGACAGGGGAAGATAGGGCTCAATTACCTGGGAAACAAAAGGGGCAATCTCACTCAAAGTGCTATACCTAAAGGCTCAGTTTGAACACAGGCACTCAGGTCAGTCTCGGTCCACGTGAATCCATGCTCCTCTGCCCCACCGAGGGGACCTGCCTCCGCTGGGAGCATGCCGAGCAGCAGCGAGCACTCACAGGGAGGAGCCAGCCAGAGCCTTCCCCTTGAGGTCCCGCCTGCCGCCGCCCTGGCCCGTGCCGGCCGAGGAGCGAGGCCTGCACACACGAAGCTCGGCCATTCCACGCCTGGCCCGAGGACCGGCGGGCGCCCGCCACCCACGGCCTCCTGAGTTCCCCAATAGCACAGCACACCTGCCCGGCCCCAAGCTCCGGTCCCCACAGTCAGCCCTGGCGCAGAGGCCTTGGCTCCGGGCCTGCAACCTGCGCCAACAGCAGCACCTACCTTGAAGGACTTGTGAGGATTTAAGAGAGCGTGCGTAGCACAGAGTGAGCCCTCAGGGGTGCCTGCGCCCTGGACCAGCTCCACGGCCCCCAACCTGCCAGTGGGGAAGATGCTCCTGAACGCCAAGCGTGCAGGGTGCCAGGCTCAGCGCCCGAGACCCTCCCGAGGCCTTGCTCTAGCTTCCGGCCTTCCGCACGGGCTGGCGGGGCTGGGCATGGGGAGCACCTCAGAGATGTGCGTGCTCAGCCATTGCTCCCGGAAAGCCATCTGGACTGCGGGGCCCGCCCGCGTGCCCACGCGCCCCTAGGCTCCTCTCTCCACAGCTCCCGTCGGATGCACACGCCTGTCCTGGTCTAGGACGGAAGGCCCTGGGTTTCCCTGTGGAGCTCAGCTGCCTCAGCCCCAGGGATTTATACCAAGCAGTAAAATCCGCAGAATGGAGACATGCAAATAGATTGTGGAATATAATATTGTCATTGTCAACATGAAAGGCTTTCGGTGACTGCCCCCCAAAAGAAAATATACTAGTGTCATTTGTTTCAGGGAATGCAGCAAAGGTTTCAACAACTAACAGGGCATGTTTCTGAGCAAAATACGCCCGTCTGTGACATTAGGACACACTCTCGGTGGCCACTTGTGTGTCTGTGTTCTGGCAAACAGACACGTGAGTGGAGGGAGGGAAGGTCACGGCCGGGCTGGCCCGCCCCTCTGAGCCACAGACCACCACCAACCTCTGTCCACGCCTGAAACACACAGCCGCCCCCGGGCACAGAGGCGGCGCTGCCGGGCTGATCACTGTACCTCACACAAGGGCCTGGACAGCCACCGAGGGGCAGGAGGGGCAGGAAATGGTGGCCTGGAGTGCCGGGATGGTCTGGGCACGGCGGGGCAGAGCAACCGCAGAGAGGATGTGGCTCCCACATTGTGTGTCTTTTCAGCACGGAACTCCCTCCAGGGCCAAGGGGTGTTCACCACACAGACACACAGACACACACACCACAGGCTCAACCAGCTCTGGAAGAAGGGCCAAGGGGTGTTCACCACACAGACACACAGACACACAGACACACAGACACACAGACACAGACACACACACACACACACACACACACACACACACACACCACAGGCTCAACCAGCTCTGGAAGAAGGGCCAAGGGGTGTTCACCACACACACACACACACACACATACACACACACACCACGGGCTCAACCAGCTCTGGAAGAAGGGCCAAGGGGTGTTACCTCACAGACAGACAGACAGACAGACAGACACACACACACACACACACACACACAGGCTCAACCAGCTCTGAAGACAGTACCGAACCCAGGACCCAGCCGAGTAATAAATACTCATGTTCTTTCGCCCACTGTCTAAGCCACGCCACACCACAGTCAACAGGCATTGGGTTTTGCTCTCTGTGGACTGGGTTTAAATGTGTAAGATTTTAGACAGCAGTATAAATCACTTTTCTTGAAAAGAAAAAGGAAAATAAGTTCTATCTGGGTGCCACTGGCTTACAACTACACCCCTAGCTACGCAGGAGGCTGAGATCTGATTATCATGATTTGAAGCCAGCCTGGGCAGAAAACTTGCTGAGACTCTTTTTTTTTTTCCGGTCCTGGGCCTTGAACTCAGGGCCTGGGTGCTGTCCCTGAGCCTCTCTATGCTCAAGGCTACAGCTCTGTCACTTGAGCCACAGCGCCACTTCCAGCTTTTTCAGTGTATGTGGTACTGAGGAATCAAACCCAGGGCTTCATGCATGCTAGGCAAGCACTCTACCACTGAGCCACCTTCCCAGCCCCTCCCCAAGACTCTTATCTCCAATAACCACCCAAAAAAGTGGAGTCAGAAGTGGGGATCCAGTGGTAGAGCTCTAGCCTTGAGCAAAGAGCTCAGGGACAGCACCCAGGCCCTGAGTTCAAGTCCCAGGACAGGAATAAAAAAAATGTGTTTGTGTGTGTGTGTGTATGTGTGTTCTAGCTGGCTCTGCATAGACGGCACAGTGCAGTGCTGTCAGCGTCTGCAGACACTGGCTCTGCATAGACGGCACAGTGCAGTGCTCTCAGCGTCTGCAGACACTGGCTCTGCATAGACGGCACAGTGCAGTGCTGTCAGCGTCTGCAGACACTGGCTATGCATAGACGGCACAGTGCAGTGCTCTCAGCTTCTGCAGACACTGGCTCTGCATAGACGGCACAGTGCAGTGCTCTCAGCGTCTGCAGACACTGGCTCTGCATAGACGTGCGCACAGTGCAGTGCTGTCAGCGTCTGCAGACACTGGCTCTGCATAGACGGCACAGTGCAGTGCTCTCAGCGTCTGCAGACACTGGGTCTGCATAGACATGCGCACAGTGCAGTGCTCTCAGTGTCTGCAGACACTGGCTCTGCATAGACGGCACAGTGCAGTGCTGTCAGCGTCTGCAGACACTGGCTCTGCATAGACGGCACAGTGCAGTGCTCTCAGCGTCTGCAGACACTGGCTCTGCATAGACGGCACAGTGCAGTGCTGTCAGCATCTGCAGACACTGGCTCTGCATAGACGGCACAGTGCAGTGCTCTCAGCGTCTGCAGACACTGGCTCTGCATAGACGGCACAGTGCAGTGCTCTCAGCGTCTGCAGACACTGGCTCTGCATAGACATGCGCACAGTGCAGTGCTGTCAGCGTCTGCAGACACTGGCTCTGCATAGACGGCACAGTGCAGTGCTCTCAGCATCTGCAGACACTGACTCTGCATAGACGGCACAGTGCAGTGCTCTCAGCGTCTGCAGACACTGGCTCTGCATAGACATGCGCACAGTGCAGTGCTGTCAGCGTCTGCAGACACTGGCTCTGCATAGACATGCGCACAGTGCAGTGCTCTCAGCGTCTGCAGACACTGGCTCTGCATAGACGGCACAGTGCAGTGCTCTCAGCGTCTGCAGACACTGGCTCTGCATAGACGGCACAGTGCAGTGCTCTCAGCATCTGCAGACACTGGCTCTGCATAGACGGCGCAGTGCAGTGCTCTCAGCGTCTGCAGACACTGGCTCTGCATAGACATGCGCACAGTGCAGTGCTGTCAGCGTCTGCAGACACTGGCTCTGCATAGACGGCACAGTGCAGTGCTCTCAGTGTCTGCAGACACTGGCTCTGCATAGACGGCACAGTGCAGTGCTCTCAGCATCTGCAGACACTGGCTCTGCATAGACGGGTGCAGTGCAGTGCTGTCAGCGTCTGCAGACACTGGCTCTGCATAGATGGGCGCACAGTGCAGTGCTCTCAGCGTCTGCAGACACTGGCTCTGCATAGACGGCGCAGTGCAGTGCTGTCAGCATCTGCAGACACTGGCTCTGCATAGACGGCACAGTGCAGTGCTCTCAGCATCTGCAGACACTGGCTCTGCATAGACGGCACAGTGCAGTGCTCTCAGCATCTGCAGACACTGGCTCTGCATAGACATGCGCACAGTGCAGTGCTGTCAGCGTCTGCAGACACTGGCTCTGCATAGACGGCACAGTGCAGTGCTCTCAGCGTCTGCAGACACTGGCTCTGCATAGACATGCGCACAGTGCAGTGCTGTCAGCGTCTGCAGACACTGGCTCTGCATAGACGGCACAGTGCAGTGCTCTCAGCGTCTGCAGACACTGGCTCTGCATAGACGGCACAGTGCAGTGCTCTCAGCATCTGCAGACACTGGCTCTGCATAGACGGGTGCAGTGCAGTGCTGTCAGCGTCTGCAGACACTGGCTCTGCATAGACGGCAGAGTGCAGTGCTCTCAGCGTCTGCAGACACTGGCTCTGCATAGATGGGCGCACAGTGCAGTGCTCTCAGCGTCTGCAGACACTGGCTCTGCATAGACGGCACAGTGCAGTGCTCTCAGCGTCTGCAGACACTGGCTCTGCATAGACATGCGCACAGTGCAGTGCTGTCAGCGTCTGCAGACACTGGCTCTGCATAGATGGGCGCACAGTGCAGTGCTCTCAGCGTCTGCAGACACTGGCTCTGCATAGACGGCACAGTGCAGTGCTGTCAGCGTCTGCAGACACTGGCTCTGCATAGACGGCACAGTGCAGTGCTCTCAGCGTCTGCAGACACTGGCTCTGCATAGACGGCACAGTGCAGTGCTGTCAGCGTCTGCAGACACTGGCTCTGCATAGACGGCACAGTGCAGTGCTCTCAGCGTCTGCAGGCACTGGCTCTGCATAGACGGCGCAGTGCAGTGCTCTCAGCGTCTGCAGACACTGGCTCTGCATAGACGGCGCAGTGCAGTGCTGTCAGTGTCTGCAGACACTGGCTCTGCATAGACGGCACAGTGCAGTGCTGTCAGCATCTGCAGACACTGACTCTGCATAGACGGCGCAGTGCAGTGCTCTCAGCATCTGCAGACACTGGCTCTGCATAGACGGCGCAGTGCAGTGCTGTCAGCGTCTGCAGACACTGGCTCTGCATAGACGGCACAGTGCAGTGCTGTCAGTGTCTGCAGACACTGGCTCTGCATAGATGGGCGCACAGTGCAGTGCTCTCAGCGTCTGCAGACACGACATGGCTATGCAACCCCTGGCTATCAGGATCTGCAAAGGCACGGGTCCCTGGATAAAGTGTGTGTGAGTGCATGTACGCTGCGCAATCCCCGTGTGATTTCACTCCCTCCTCAAGACCCAAGGCACCCCAGTACCATGCGTGGCCAGGCGAGCCGGGGGGACAACTCCCTACTGTCCATCGGTGAACCACCTCCCAAGGGGAAAGGCTCCATACGCCCAGTGCTGGCGCAAGGCTGTTCACAAAGCCCAGTGCTGGGCTCCGGGTGGAGGCTGCAGATGGGCACCCGGGAGACACCGAGGGCTGGCCGGGCACTAGACGCACGCCACCGAGGTGAACTCAGAGGCACCACCCCAAGGCCTCCGTCCTGGCCTCCCCTGAGCGGGGGGCAGGGCTGGGCCTGGGTCTTGGGGGCACGAGAGGAGGTGGAGGCACATTTGCCAGGCCCTGCAGTGTGACGTGACTGGTTGCCAAGTGCTGCCCGCGAGCGAGGGGCACAAGGGGCTGGACGCGGCTGCCCCTCACAGCCCGGCCTGCGCCCGCTGGGTGGGCAGGGAGGCACACAGGGGCTGGACGCGGCTGCCCCTCACAGCCCGGCCTGCGCCCGCTGGGTGGGCAGGGAGGCACACAGGGGCTGGACGCGGCTGCCCCTCACAGCCTGGCCTGCGCCCGCTGGGTGGGCAGGGAGACACACGGGCTGGATGCGGCTGCCCCTCACAGCCTGGCCTGCGCCCGCTGGGTGGGCAGGGAGGCACACAGGGGCTGGACGGGGCTGCCCCTCACAGCCCGGCCTGCGCCCGCTGGGTGGGCAGGGAGGCACACAGGGGCTGGACACGGCTGCCCCTCACAGCCCCGCCTGCGCCCGCTGGGTGGGCAGGGAGGCACA